GGCGGGGCCGGGGCGCGGATTGGCCGGGGCGCGGGGGGGCCCGGCGCGGCCCGGGTGAAGGTGAGCTGGAGGGCGGGCCGGGAGGAGCCATTTTGTGCCGCCGCCTCCGGCCGCGCCGCGCTCGCCTCCGCTCGGTTTTGGTGCCGCGCTGTTCCCCGCGGGCTCCCTGCCCGGCCGTGCCGTGCCGTGTTGGGGCTGGGTGCGGGCGGGTCCGCTCTGCCGCTTTCCCCGCTTTGCCGTGCTCCAGCCCGGCGGGCGCTGGCCGGTGCCGGATGTGCTGGCATCTGGCTGAACCCTGGAGCCCTGGGAACACTGGCCGGGGCTCAGGCTGGGTTTGGCTTAGCAAAATCTGAATCACGTGCAAGAACGACAGCGAAGCCAAAGGGGAAGGATTGGGACTGTTTCACTGTTTACCCATAAGTGAATGATACTACGCAGTGTGCTTTTTCCCTACTTTTTTTCCCCATTTAAATTGTTTTTTCCCCCTCTGACAGACCTTTTCGTTTACAAAACGGTACATAAAGGGTTCTGCAGTTTCAAGGTATCCTTTTTCAATGCTTGTTTTTGTTTTGTTTTACTTAATAATCATGACTCTCATGTCCCAGTCAGTTCCTGTTTTTTACTGGGTGACTTTTGAGGGCATTTAAGGCTTTTTCTGTGTGTGTCACTAGCTTGTATAACTATTGAGTTTTGCCATTCTTTCTTTTTTAGAAATGAAGAGAGTGTTCTACATTAGAATAAAAAACTTCTGCAGTTGAGCTAACTTGTATCATGTCAATCAGTTCGTCAGGTCAATTCTTGTTTACTAGTTAATATGTATTCTTAAAGACTTCATTTTTAGGCATTCCAATCCTCAATATCCCTTGTAAACCAAGAATTTTTGTTTAAAAAAAATTCTTTAAAACCAACAACATTCTTGGTTTTTTTCTTATCGCGGAGAAAGATGAAGGAAGGCGAAATGCTGCGTTTGTTTTTTTTTTTTTTTTCAGAGGGAAAGGTTATGCTCTTTTTGCCCACGCCCTCTTCCTTTCCAAACAAGAAGAGCACGTGCGGCCGGGGGATTTGTTCTGTGCCTCAGGGTAACCCCACACCGCCTTATCTCCCATCACACTACACCCGCCCTGGCCCAGCCTCAGCGGCAGCTCCAGGCCTGGGCACAGCACCGTTCCCGTGCTGGTTTCGGCTCTGGGGGGCTCGGCTCGCGGTGACAGCGCGGTGCTGCCGGCCCGGCCCGGCCCTTGCCAGCGCCTCCCCTTCTCCCCTCACAGGCGTCAGCGCTCCCGCCTCGCCCGCTGCTGGCAGCGGTGGCCACGGGCTGGACGTCGCCTCCCGGCAGCTGCAGAAGCCCAGCGCAGCCTCAGGTACTCGGAAAGCACAGCCCGAGGGCGGGCTCTGGGCCCGGGCTCACCTGGGGATGAGGTGTGGCTGGAGGGCTGGCCCCGAGCTCCGGGACACGGGAGCGCGGCTGCGGCTGAGGGAGGGGGCAGTGCTCAGCAGGGGCCTGCGCTAGGGAAGGAGGGGTTCACTGCAACACAACTATTTTATGAAAGAGGATTTACTGATAGAAGGTGTCAGGGCAAACGTTTTATAGACTTCTACCAGCCTGTGAATTGGGCTTGTAGGGTGTTTCTGAGGAGCAGCTTGTGCAGACAGGCTTAGGGGTGGTGTAGGTGAAGGAAATAGAGGAACCTGAACTCGTGGTGAACCCAGCTTAGCTCAGAGATACGTGTGTGTGAGGTAACATCCATGTCAGAGCCATGTCTGTGTTTGGAAAGCATTTGTAAAACCTGTTGATTATAAGTGTGATTTGTTTTACCTGTCTGGTTTTTCAAATGTGTAGACTCTGAATGCTTAAGATCCATGCTTGTTGACCCTTGCTCAGGCAAGTAATCCAATAGATTTTGTATTATTTTTTTCTCTTTGATCAAATACTTCCCAGTACTTGGGCGGGGGGGAAATTGTATTTTTCTTTTGCTTTGTTTAAACTTACGGAAGAGATCTGAGTGTTAAATTCTCTGAATGACTGGTGTTTTACAGTGCAGGGTCTGTAGGCGGATAAGGCATATAAGTGCCTCTGCACCCAGGCAGGGTGCAGACAAGTCTGTGTTTCCCCCCTTTGCACAGTATCCAGCTCAGCCTCAGGCACAGGTTCCCCTCTGCTTTTCCCACTTTGGCAGCTGGAAGGTGACATTTGAAAACTGCTAGAGCAAGATTTGCAGGAAGGCAGCACGTAAATGTGATAGAGCTGAACATGTGACGCTGTTACTGATAGGCTTGTGAAATTGTTTTGCTGAAGCAAACCTGCAGAAGTAATTAACTGGACAGAAATGGAAGGAAAGTACATTTAAAAACAGTATGTTCTGTGATGAAGTGGAGTTCTTTCTTTCTCCTTTTTAGTATCTTATTTGTGATTTTAAAATATTTATCCCCTTGAGTAGTTTTTACTCTGTGGATTTTTTTTTCATTCTCCCATTTCTTTAAACCATTAGGACATTAAAAATAAAAATCATTTGCTGACCACTAATTTTGTGATGTCCTAAGCATAAAGAAGACATTGCTTCCTTCAGTGAGCAGTTGTAGCCCAGAGCCCTTGTTTCTGGTTGTTAATGATTGCATAATACAGTACTGTCTTAACTTCTCACATAATGAGAAAGATACCATCTTGAAGAATTTCTACTTAGTTGCTGTGTTTTGCCCTTTCATGCAACATCAGGGTCTTGCTTTTCATTTCAAGCTGTCTTTGGAAAAGTTCCCTTAGCTTCTGTGAAATTAATCTGATATAAATCTGCGATGCTGGAATTGAGCCTTTCATGTTTATATTTATATTTGCGTTGTTGTATTTCCCTTTGCTGCTTTGTTTCTGCCCACTTCCTCATGCGGGTAGTACCTAGTTAGTAGCAGTTGAAATTCAGTGCAGGGGTAGGATTTTGGCAGCAGGGCTGGTGAGGTGCTGGGGGTGGTGGTTGGTGTTGTTTTGTGTCGGGGCTGTGTCACTGCGGGGTGAAGTGATTGTGCAATAGGTGGGATAGAATGTCAGCTGCAGATCAGATTGTCCATTTGTGCCTCGTTAGTCTCTCTGAAGCAATCAGTTATTAGATAGGCTCATTGCAACAGCGTTTTTCAGGCATCAGTGTGACAACTGGTCCTATTTCAAGTCAAATTAAAACTAAGTGTTTTGTAGGGTAAATGAGCCCCAGACCAAGAATCTACCTTGTAAATTTGTGTAAAAAATTTTATGGGGAACGGGATAGTTTTAGAACCTCTTTTCTCAATGAGTGAAGGGGCAGCCTGCATTCTTTCCTTGCTGTTTGTTCAGATGGTGCCTTTTAAAGGTGCTGTGTAAAAAGGCTGTTTAAAAAAAGCACATCCATTGTGTGCTATATTAAGTAGTGACGTGGCCAGTCTGGGACTGGGTAATTGCAGCTCTGAGGATGGAAGCTCATCAGGAAATGAAATTGCCGTGAGGAGTTGGTGTTTCCTGACTGTGGATTCAGGGAAACTGAATAAAACCTTGGGAGGCATGAAAAAAATTTCCATAAACGTAAAAATAATTCAGTTTGTGGCCTTGTAGACATACAAGTAAATATTACATGCATTTGGAATTGTGCCAGTGCCAGGCCCAAGAGGGTGCTTTGCCAGCCTTTTGCTACCTCAGTATATCTTGGTCTGCATTCATCCGGGTCATTTTTAAGGTCAGGAGAGGCAAAAAGCCCTGTTGTGGTAGATTGGTTGCTCTCACTAACTCTTACATGCATTATTTGCAAAGTCAGCTACATTTTCTTCACCTACACACTTTAATATTGGCACATGCAAACGTTTGAGTATTTGATTTTTGTAACTTCAGTGCTCTGATAATGTGAGTGTTGTGTTTGCATGCTGGGAGGAACCTTTACACTTGTACTTGAAACTGGAAGGTGTTCAAGCAGAAACTTCTGCTAATAATTATTTGCTAGTAGTGCTTTGGAAACAGAAAATTTCGCTGTCCTCAGCAAGTTGTCTTTTGTTCATATTTCCAGTAGTTTTAAACAAAAAAAATGTAGTTCATCTTTCATTCTGATCTGTGTGCTAGCAGTTTACATTCATTTTAATCAAATTGTAGATTGTCCGTGAACTAATTTTTAGAGGTTAGGAATGAACAGGTAAAAACTTACAGTCAAGGTTACTTGTTGAGATCACAGATTGTTATTTAACTCTAGTGTTACAAGACTTCATTATGATAGACTTTATAATGAAAATGGAGTGGTTACTCAATTAAATTCTTGCTTTTAAGATTTCAGTCTTCCCTCCCCACTGCCCTTTTTGACTGGTGCTATTATATTAGTACTTTGGAGACTCCAGCTGAAATGAGGATCAGAAACAGAAAATTTCGCTGTCCTCAGCAAGTTGCCCTTTGTTCATATTTCCAGTAGTTTTACACAAAAAAATGTGGTTCATCTTTCATTCTGATCTGTGTGCTAGCAGGTACATTCATTTTTAATCGAATCATACATTGTCAGTGAACTAATTTTTAGAGGTTAGGAATGAA